GAAGTGAACGCTACAAAAAAAGAACGAAAACTGAAAATTTTATCGAATGGACGAAACTAAGCTGCAGCTGGAGAATTAGACCGATAGAAAATGAGGAGCCATGTGAGAGGTACAATTCGGGTCGGGTCAATGTCGTCATGGCCGGGTCAAATAAATCATTTTACTTTATTTTTAAATGTAAGAGTGTGTTTGGTTGGGAAATATGAGATTCCCATGGGAATGGAATTCATATTTCCCGTTTGATTGGTCAAGAATGTCATTTCCAGTAATTTTACATTACTAATAGTGGATTTTTTTGTGTATATTACCGGAAATGTCATTACCTCTATTTCCTTAGGTATCGTTAGATTACTGACTTTTTGGACTAAATTGCCCTTAAAATAATTTTTTTTCTAAAAATATCCTTATTCTGTCATTGAATAATAAAATTTTTACGAAGGTTAAATTACAAATTTATCCTTAAACTATTTTAGATTTACAAAAAAATCTATAATTAAAATTTTATATGAAGTTCAAGGGTTAAAATAAAATTTTACCATTTTATTAAACATTTTTATATTTTTAATAATTTTGTAAAAAAAATTATATAAATTTTATAAATTTAAATTTTTTAAAGAAAATATAGAAATATTTTCTAACTTGTTAAAAAAATAAATATATAATAAAGACAATTTGGTCAAATATACATTCTAATAATCTTTTATTTCTTTAACCAAACACGTTAATCTTATAATCCTGCTAAACCAATCAAACACAAAATACAATATTCCCAGTAATCATATTCCCTGATAATCTTTTATTCTCACTAGTAATCTTACATTATGTGAACCAAATGCACCCTAATTATACAAAAAAGGAAATATTATATTAGATTAATATATATCGATACGAGACACTATTTATCTGAATAGTCGAAATACGTACAAACCAAACGACTTGAATGATTAAGGAATGATTGTTATTTTTAGAGGTATCGAGTTCGAGTACAATGTAGACATGTTTAAACATTTATTGTAAAATGATTGAGAATTTTTTTAACATATATTATCATATAATCACTTCATATAAATAAAAAATAAAAATATTTTTTTTAAAATTTGATTCAAAATATATATCTCAAATTTTATTCAATCAAAATGATTTGTTGAATTTTATTTTTAAACTCCTTTGAATATTTTCTAAAAAATATTATGTTAATTTAATATTTCCTACTTTTTATTAAACTTTTTGACAAAAATAATTTAACATATTTCAGGTATTTATATTATGATATTTATATCGTTATAGATTTTATATAATTTATAAAAATAAAATTATAACAAAATATTAAAATATGAGGCAAAGTTGGTCCAATAATGCTGGTGCAATAATTATTTAGGTTTTTCGGGCGATTCAAAAATTAATTAGCAATCTACGAGGTTTATTATAGTGTCTTGGAACTCGTCATATGAGTATGACAAGTTTTAATAAAAAAATATTTTTTTGAAACTTGTTACCCGGATGTGGCAAATTTTAATAAAAAATATATAATTTTCGAAAGTCATTATTCTCACGTGACGAGTTTGAATAAAAAATATTTTTTTAAAATTCGTCATGCCCACGTGACGAGTTCGCCTTTCACTTTGGTAGATCCTAACATAAACTTTGAATTGTCCTATTAGACTAAATAATTTATCTGCCTAAATTATTGGGCTTATTTTTCGAAAATATGAATCAGATCTTATTTTTAAATGTTGGAGCCTAAATTCAACTCATAAATTATTTGAAGATGATCAAATTCTCGTCGCTTTTGAAGGTAAAATTGGCCTGATAGATTAGACCGGTAAAAGAATTGACATATTTAGTCATTTTTAAAAAATAATTTGGAATCTACAATATTTAGTCATTTACTATGATTACTTAAAATTCATCACATCAACGTGATAAATTTAAATAAAAAAAATATTATTTAAATAAATTCGTTATGTGGGTGTGACGAGTTTATATTGCATTGTAATATTTGATGTAGACCTTAAATTAAAATCTAGGTTAATCTAATAAGCTAAATATTTTACTTGCTTAACTTAGTGGGTCTATTTCACCTTTTTTGAAACTTTTTTAGCTAATTTTGTCGAGGTCAGCCCTATGACGATAATTTCACTTGGGTCTAGCTTAATAATCGAATATATATATTATTTTTTTATTTAATGAAATATGGATATAATTAAATTAATGTAGAGATATTAAAATAATTATCTCTAAATATAAATATTAATTATATTATTATTTTTATATTGGACCAGTCGGATTTTTTAATCGTAAATCTGAATCCAATATAATTTTATAGTTCCAAAAAATTTGGTCCAAACTCGTTTTTTTATAGAATTTATTTTATTCGAATAAGATGATAATCTTTATTCTGCAATAGTGCTGAGTGGATGCGGAACACGGAGACAACCCAGACCAAGAATCAACGGATGAATAAACGAGTTGAGTACTCGGACGAGCACCATGCTCGGTGGGCATATTAGTCGGTCGCGGTCTAAGTGGAGCCACACATACATAAGATAGCAACGTTGACTCCGCTATAGCCGTCTTGTTCTTCGGCAAACACGATGGTCGTGAAGCACTTTCTTACAGCGCTCGTATGGCCGAGCACTCCGGCACCATTGTCTTCTACAAAGATCGCACGGTAGAACGTTGTAGCAAGTACAACACCTCGTGAGGATCATATTACGACAATATCAGACAATAGTGAGTCCATAAATATATTTTAAAATGAGCGTATATGTACTAATAATAGAAATTTAGATTTTAAGATTAACAAATGCGCAGTCCAAATAACATATACATCCCTCACTTATGCTGAGGTGACGTCTGAATTCAAGGGGTCTAAAACAGGTCAAAGACAACTGACCTAATAAAACCGGGAAATTTAGTCCATTCGACGTTGATCCAAGTCCGAATGATGTTAAAAGAAGGATAAGTTACGACTTCGTGAGCTCTCCTGGTGGTTTCAGTAACTTTTCCTCACAGAAGCTAGGAAGTGAAGCACCCGTATTCTGATCAGTCCCTTTCTTCTACTTCGACGATTTCTCGGGGAATGCTTCAATGTACATGGAAGGGTGGGAATCCGTATTTCGTTTTCTCCTTGGATAAACAGAGGGAGGTATATGTAGCCAATACGTGGAAGGAAGGATCAAATCGAGGTAACTGTCCGGACTGTATGTTCTTGATCCATTCAAGAAAGGGTAGTCACAAGGAACATGGGATTAGTGACAACGAGTCAAACCTTCTCGGTAAGATGAAGGTATCGAGTTCGTTCTCGATATGTCCCCAAGGTTCTGGAGTTTGTTTTGTCTAGTGGTATCGAAACTTTGAATCCGGAGATTCAAACTTCGAGCCATAACCACAGGAAGAATAAGGGTCTACAGGAAAAGGTGGTGGAAGCATTCAAGAGCAGTCATTCGTCCAAGCCGAGATTGAGGTCGTCTACTTCCATAATGGAGGATTCTTCTAGGGGTCCATGCCAAGATATAGACAACAATTCCGCTTCATTCGATACGACAAATAACTCGGCGGAAGAACTTCCACCGAATCTAGAATTGATTGCTATTGTTGTTAGGAACCATTTGCCTAAATCTGCCCCATGTCGGGGGTTGGGGCTTAAAGTTTCTCCGGAGGTGGTTAAGCAACATGTTGAAACCGTGGAAGCCTCGGTTCAATGTGCTTGTTCTCTGAATACCGGTGATTGCTCAACAAGTATGGATATTCTAGTTCCTGCAGGTATTCATGGTGGTCCAAGAACCATAAATGGTGTCCCCTCTAGTCTTATCGACAGATGGAGATCCGGTGAACATTGCGACTGTGGCGGCTGGGATTTGGGCTGTCCGTTGACTCTACTTAAATCCAGATCAAGCAAAGAGACAAGTTTGCCTTCGACGTATACACTCGATGCAGGCAAGCTATTTGATTTTTCTGTTCAGGTATTGTCACCATGATTTAAACCTCAATACCGATATTAGAAAATATCGAACAACAGATAATACAACCCGAATAATCATTGCGATAACCATTGCCTCGACGTCGAAAATTTTCAGGGCTCGAAGAACGGTTCTCCTAAATTGAGGATAGCAAACGTCCACGATGGCCTGTATTACATTCATTTTCAATCAACACTCTCAGCCCCGCGGTCTTTCTCGATCGCAGTCGCGTACATCCATGCGCGAAGTCCGGATTTCCGACCGAAAAACGTAAAGCCGTCGAGGTAGCAAGATCCGGGTCCGAAGTGATTGTTAGTCGTCACCTTCTCAGCATGCCATGACAGTACCTAAGTTCGAAAATTTAGGTATTTACACACGAATCTTGATTTGTATCTTATATAGGTTGTTTATAATAGAATTGCAAATTTTATACCGAATTTCAACTCAATTTCATATGTTACAAGAATGATAATAAGTTCAAACTTCAATATATATTATAATGTTGAAAAATGGGAAAAATATATTTGGATATAATTTGTTAAATTAATCAAATTTTAAAAATAAATTTTGAGCAACATAAAAGTAAGAAGAATAAAATTAAATTCAGTTCGACTCGGATTTTAGTTTTAACATTTCCATTCATTATTTTAGGGTAAATTATATGTTTAATACTTAAACTATCAATTTTTTTCTTGTTTTAGTACCTAAATTTTTTTAATAAAAATATACCTAAAGTTTAGTACGTCGTTAAAAACTTTAGTTTTTGTTTCATTTTAGTGCACATTCAAAATTTGATATTAAGTACTAAAAGCGTTAAGTTTTTAATGGTAGGTACTAAAATGAAATAAAAACAAAATATTAGGTATGGTTTTAAAAAATTAAAAAGTTTAGTAGCTGAAACGGATAAAACTGATAGTTTGGGTACTAAATACGTAGTTTACCCTTTATTTTAAACCGAAATGTTGGGCCACGGCCCAATAGTAGGGGGAGAAATCATCAGCGCCTCCAACAATCAACACCAAAAGGAACAAACTTGAAGATGGAAACCCTAATTCGCTTTCTATATAATGCTAAAAAAACCCTACCTTCAGCAACCCGATTATCTGCAGCCGTAAAACATGTCGAAGCGAGGTCAGTATCCATCTCTCTTTTTGTAAATCTGTTGTATGTTTTATTTTATCTTAATTTTCCGCTTGTTTGTTTTGTTTATTTTATGGATTTTCATTGCTGAAAACGTGGTTTATTTTTTGTGATTAGGGCGTGGAGGTTCAGCCGGAAACAAGTTCAGAATGTCACTGGGTTTGCCGGTGGCAGCCACGGTGAACTGCGCTGATAACACTGGTGCTAAGAACCTTTATATCATCTCAGTTAAGGGAATCAAGGGCCGCCTTAACCGCCTGCCCTCTGCTTGCGTCGGAGATATGGTGATGGCCACCGTCAAGAAAGGGAAGCCCGATCTCAGGAAGAAGGTCTTGCCAGCCGTCATTGTGAGGCAGCGCAAGCCCTGGCGCCGAAAGGATGGTGTTTACATGTACTTTGAAGGTACAAATCTCTCTTGTATGTACTATGGAATATTTGGTGTTCAAATTTTATAGGCATTTTCTTCTCTGCGTGGAGGAATTTTTTTAAAGAATTAGAGCCTTTGCTGGTTTAGCGGTGTCATGATAAGCGCATTAACCTGCACTCACTACGATTTGATACTTTCTGAGACCAGAAAAATGAACACAAATGCTCGAATTTATCTAGCGAGGCTCCTCTCATTCGGACTCTCATTTTTCGCAATTCGATACATTGTGTTCTGCCTTATGTTTTATAGACTACTGTAACAATTTTGTGTCGTGATATGTGCATTAACCTGCACTTAGTATGATTGGATTCTTCCACTGATCATTGAAATGAACACAAATGGTCGATTATTTTATCGAGCAGGGTTTCTCTCATTTGAAATCTATCATTTTTTTGATTTGATATGTTGTTCTCTTTCAGCCTATTATGGGTTTTATTCTGGTGATGTAGTGTGGAGAATTTTTTTCAGGCTTTCTCCATACCTCCCATAACCAGCTAAATTGATCTGCCAACCTTAACCCAATACCAGGTGGAAACCATTGTTATCATCCCTGTCCAGGTTTGGACATTTGAAATAAAATTGTTCCTTATGATGATTCTATTGCCATTCCCTTGTTGTGTTCTTGACGTCTAGCTGGAAATTTTTAGAGTTTTGAAAGATTTGTTCATGTGAATTAGTTTAAAGGATGTTGTATTACCAGACATAAGTCGTGTATCTTCTGCAATGTTCAATGGTTGGTACAGTTACGAGTCTGGAAAATCAAGTGTGTCCATCGTTGCAGATGCGTTGAGTTTTCGAAGCTTGCATGTGCTCCATTTGGTCCGTACATTTGTTTAGAACACAAATTAGTCTTGACAGTTAGTTAAAGCAAGTTCATACCACCAGACGCAAGTCAGGTATCTACTTCAAGGTTCAATAGTCTATACCGTTACGAGTCTGGAAAACCGATTGTGCCCATCGTTGCAGATGCATTATGTTTTCGAAGCTTGCATGTGCTCCATTTGGGCTCTACATGTTATAATCTTGACTTCAAACATTGTTCATTTTGTTTTTGATGTTCATGAACATGAATCTTGTTTTATTGGCAGACAATGCTGGTGTCATTGTGAACCCGAAAGGAGAAATGAAAGGTACTTATCATGGTGACCCGAGTTCCATTTTTCGTGAAATATTCGTCTTCGACATTCGAGTCCAACTTATATTTAGATATTTGAATTGACATTTTGTTATTGGTAATTGCAGGTTCTGCCATAACTGGTCCAATTGGAAAGGAGTGTGCTGATCTATGGCCAAGGATTGCAAGTGCAGCCAATGCTATAGTTTAGGAATTGAAATTGTAGAAGCTTTTGTTTAACTGCTTTGGAGTTCGTTATACTTTGTAATATTTAGTTTTTGATTTTTCGAAATTCCTTTTGGATTGTTTTTTTGTATTTGATTTTGGGTTTGAAAATAAATGTACTTTTATGCTGACTTTTTCCATTAGTCATAAATAGATTTATTTTTATATTAAATAATTTTCATTTTAATATTTATATTTTAATATTCGATTCAAATAAATAATTGTGATAAATTATATTCTATGTAATATAATCCGAGATAAATAAAACAAGGTAAAATATAAATTAACAATTTTCAATTTCTAAAAGTAAATATAATGGTGTTAATTTAAATTAGTTTTTTTAAGGTAACATTTTTAAATTTATTTATTATTTGAATATTTAAACAAATAAAATTAATTTAGTATGAACCTTAAACACAATACAATATATATTTTATCATTTTTTAATTAATCACTGATATCTAATCTATTAACTGACTAATCTAGATCATGTACTAGAGAGGCAAGGGCGACTCTCCTAACCCAGTTTGCTCCATTCGCAAATGTCAGGATTCGAACTACTGACCTTGCTTAAGGGACCTAGTGTATCATCCCACTAGAACAACTGTTTGTTGGTATATTTTATCATTTTTTATCGGTGGTAGAAGGGAAATTTTGTTCAGTGTTACTGACAACTTAGGGGAACGGTGTCAACTGAGATAACATAAATATAATATTATTCTTTTAGTAAGTTTTAAATTTAATCTTGATCTTATTTAGAGGTAAGGGAAGAGATGCTCATTGACTCTAAGGGAAGGAATAAGAATATATTTAGTGGACTTAGGGAACTCATAATCTAAAAAAATATAATGAAATAAAGATGGTCCGTTTAACCAACTGATCAAATATATTTACTTTATAGTATTAAAAACTCATAATATAAAATTAAAATAAATAAAATATGAATAATTAGATCTACTAAATTTACTTGTAACATTAAAAAAAATTATAACTCGCAGACATTATCTATATGATTTAATTTTGAGTTAATCTTTTGTAAAAAAAAAAAGAGTTAATCTATTTTGAACCAAATTTGAACTCCATTTGCTATTATTTTACCACAAATCCGAGTATTTGTTCATTAAAAGTAAAATTATTTTGGTAAAGTACTCAAATTGTCTCTTGATTATAGGATATTATTTTATTAAGTTATTTGACTATTAAAAGTTATAAAATGATCCCTCAATTATATGGAGTTACTTTGTGGAGTCCCTAAATTATTAGAAATTATAAAATGGTCACTCGATTGTTCATTATGTTCTAAACTCATCTTTTTCTGTTAAAAAATTAACAGTAATCTAAGTTGGACGTTAACATACTGACTGAGATATGATAGTTGTTTGAGATTAAGAGATCAAATTTGATAATATCTAAGTCACTAGGTTAACGTATAGCTCAGATCGTCATCAAATTTTTAACGAGAAATGACGAGTTTGGAACATAATGAATAGTCGGATGACCATTTTGTAACTTGTAATATTTGAATTACTCAACAAAGCAACTCTCGATAGTCGGAGGACCATTTTGTAACTTTTAATAATCAGAGACTTGATAAATCAATATCATAACTTTTAAAGAATTTAGAGTTATTTGAGTTGACGAGTCATATTTTCCAACTTAAAGTTGACTTGAAACTTTTTAAAAATCGAGTAAAGTTTATAAAATTTTAGTTGAGTCGAGTCGAGTATAATTTTTGAGTTTCTATTTAACTTTGATTGTAAATATTTATAATATTATGATATTATTTCATTCCAATTTAAATGAGTTTTTATCATGGTTATCAAAACCGGACTGAACCGGTTGGTTCAACCGGTTGAACCGTGAACCGGTAGCATGTCCGGTCCAGTTACCTCACAAAACCGGTCTGGCAATGAACCGGCTGAAAACCGGTAGAACATGGGTGAACCGACTGAAAACCGGTAGAATAGGGGTGAACCGGCTGAAAATCGGCAAAACCAGTTTGAACCATCGGTTCACTTTTTTTTTTTAAATTAAACCAAACGACATCGTTTGTTCAATGAGCCGAGCATTGCTGAGCTCGACTCGAACTCGAAAACTTTAAAAGTAAGCTCAACTCGACTCAAAAACTCACAAGCTAAAAATTATCAAGTTCAACTCGAACTCGAAATATAATATTAAAACTTGAACTCGAAAAGGCTCGAACTCAAAAAAAAATTAGAAGTTCGATTGAAGCCTAAAATTTGAACTCAATTGAAGCGAAATAATAGTTCGCTATGTACTCACCAAAAGGCTCCATTATTTTGAATGTCAAATTACCTCTATTATTTATAGAAGTAAGTTGGGATGCTCTTCTATGTTTCTTAGCCATGTGAGATTGTTTTGTTCTTATATTTTTACTCTTTAAACTTTTGGGATGCTCTTCTATGTTTCTTAGCCATGTGGGATTATTTTTTAAAAAAAAAATTAAACCAAATGACATCATTTGTTATGATTTTTTTAAGCCCTAATTTTTTTTATAGTTATATAATTATATTTATTATTTAATATGTTTTACCTTAAATATTATGTTGTAGTTGATTTGAATCATTTTGTTGCACTATATTTTATGGTTTTTAATTTATACATATTATGGCTTGTGACATTTTTATACCTTTTAATATTGTAAACTTAAAAAAAGTGTTACATATATATTAATATTGCTTTGAATATCATGTAAAATTAAAAAAAAATTATATAAAATCCGGTTGAACCAGTGAATCAGTACTTTCACCGGTTCAATGTCTGGTCCGGTTTTAAAAACATTGGTTTTATAACCATATTCAATTAATTTATATTTTTTCATATGTGATATACATATATCATATAGAATCGAGAGACTCGACTCAAACTTGAAAATCAATCCAATAATTACTGAAAATTTTGAGTTATTCGAGTTGTATTTTACATCTCAATTTGAACTTGAAAATTTTAGAGTCAAGTCGAGTTTATAAAATTAAAACTCGAAGTCAATTGAATTCGAGTTTTTTCAATAGAATTAAATAAAAAAATTAATTTTTTAAGTCGAGTCCAATTTTACTGGCAATGGGTTTTTAATCTATTTATATATCAGCCTTTTTAATCATAGATAAAGACCAAAGCCCATTAATCAGTTCAAAACCCAAACCTACAATAGAAGATTCAAAACCGAAAATCCTCCTCTTTTTCCTTTTGCCCACCTTCACAAAGCTTAAATAAAGTAAAACAAGAGAGAGAGGGACACAAAAACGCATGGCAAGCGCGGCGGCGGAAGTTATCGCCGTACCGGAGGAGGTGGGAGCAGAGAAACAGCCGCATAAACTTGAGAGAAAATGGACCTTTTGGTTCGATAACCAATCAAAGCCTAAACAAGGCGCCGCTTGGGGTTCTACTCTACGCAAAGTTTACACTTTTGACACCGTTGAAGAATTTTGGTGGTACTTTTATCGAATACCCATCTCTCCTTTTCATCTATATTTTAAAGATCATTTTCAGCTGTTATTTTTATTGGGTCTTGCTCGATTTATAGGTTGGGTGGTTGATCTGAATTTATTTATTGTAGATTTGCTTTCTTTTAAAACAGAAAGGGTATTTTGTTTTTGTGTTTAAAATGAGAAATTTGTTGTTTTATAGGTCATAATTTTATCTGAATTGTTAGCTATTAGCAGCATACGATGTGAAATTCATAACGTTTGTTCATGTTTGTGTGATATTGTTGAACTTGTCCATTTTTTCTTGTGATTCAGTTTGTCTGTCGGTATCTCTCCCGGTCAGCTTCGATGGAACTTGAGTTGTTTCTGTTATTTTTCGATTGTTTAATTGAGTTTGGAAAATTCTTCTTTTTTCTTCATGTTTCAGTTTGTATGATCAAATATTCAAGCCGAGCAAGTTGCCCCCGGGAAATGCTGATTTCCACTTGTTCAAGGCCGGAGTTGAACCCAAATGGGAAGATCCCGAATGCGCTAATGGTGGAAAGTGGACTGCGATTAGCAATGGAAAGGCTAATCTCGAGACTATGTGGCTCGAAACTGTGAGTACTTTGTGCCTAACTGATATGCTTACTGCGATGTGAATCATAGATAGATACATCGGGATTTTTGGTTTACTTGTTGTCTTTTGTTTTGCAGTTGATGGCATTGATTGGGGAGCAATTTGATGAGTCGGATGAGATTTGTGGCGTAGTTGCTAGTCTACGTCAAAGGCAGAACAAACTTGCATTGTGGACCAAGACATCAACAAACGAGGCTGCTCAGGTATAGGAATATTTTGTGAGACCGTCAAAGTATCAATGTTTCCAAATGTGTTTCGTGGCTTTAATTTTTCTGCTCATTTATCCTGAAAACCCCCCGGAAATTTATGCTCATAAGGTTTTCTAAGTTCTACTTCGAACTTTAGTGATCGATCGCTGCAAAATATTGTTTATTGGTTTATGCATATGAAATTTATGCTCATACTTATTTTGATGTTTCTATGCTTTCGAATACGGTCATGACATGCTTAAATCTACCTCTGTTTGCTGATGCATTGCTTGACATGTTTATGCATATGACATTCATATCGAGTCGGAGCAACATAGGGTGTAATGTATAATTTACAAAAGTACATTGAGGTTCTGGTCACCTCTCGTCGATTATGTCACGCATTTGTGTATCGATGTATGTTTTTGAACTTATTCAATTGCACGTGTTGATGTTAATTCGAACCCTTTTTTCTAGATGGGCATCGGTAGGAAGTGGAAGGAGATAATTGATGTCAACGATAAAATTACTTATAGCTTCCATGTAAGTGTTATTCGATTGGTATTCGCGACTTCAGATGCATATTCTCTTATTGTGACCGGTTGCTTTATTCGTTGTAGGACGACTCGAGAAAGGAAAGATCGGCGAAAGGCCGATACAACGTTTGAACATCTTTGTTGTTTCTTAATTTCGGGACTCGAATTCGGATAATTGGAATATTTTGAATGTGAGTTGTTTTTTTTAATTTAATACCATCCAATATCAAAATTTTATGCTAAGAGAGATCTTTTATGTTCTACATATTGAGAAATTTATCATATTTTATGAATGTTTAATTTACCACCCCCCCATTTATTATAGATTTTGACATATTT